AGAGAGAGAGAGAGAGAGAGAGAGAGAGAGAGAGGGGCATGAAAAGAAAAGAGAAAAAGGCTGGGGTTGTACTTCAATGGTAGAATGCTTTCCTGGCACGGATGGAGTTCCATGTCCAGCATAACAACGAAAAGAAAAGAAAAGGAAAGAAGGCAAGTGGGCCATTTGCAAAGTTTTAAGGAAATCACATTGACTTAATCAGCAATAAATCCACTAGAAATTAATTTAGTAGGTAGTACGAATATGACTGATGAACTCTAAATGTTTTCATTTAAGAGAAAAAAATTTTAGTGCAGTGCTAAAAAAAGTAGTTAAGCGCTGGTGAATTTGGATGGCTACTTTTCCCCAAAACCATGGTCAAGCTCAGGGAGCAGAGGCCCTGGCGAGCTCAGCCAGCTGGACTCAGAAGACCACATATCTGTACTCGGCAGGAAAGGGCTTTTCTTGTCCTTCCTCCCTAAAAAACAGTACAGCGGGTGTCCAGACAGTACCTCAGTTGTGCCAGGTGTAATGAGTGACTTTAGGGTACAGCAGGACGTGGGGGGCCACGGGCCAACACTTGCCCCATCTCCTGGGGACCTGGGCACCCTTGGGTGTCAGTCGTGCGGCGGAGTCTTGGAACCATCTCCTAAAGTTACTGCGGGCTGGCTGGGACAGGAGAAAATGAAACACCTGCCTTCCAACCAATGCAGTTTCAAGGGTGAGAGATTCGTGCTCCTAGATTGTCCTGAAATCACTAAGCGCGAGTAGAGATGTGTTAGAGACGCCTCCGCAGAGGCACAGGCTGAACACGAAACCGCTTACCTCGCTGCACAAGCTCAGCGCGTTCCCGGAGCTGACTCACCAGCGCCTTCATCTGCTGGTAGTTCTCCTACAGCAGAAACAGGATGAGGGGAACAGGAATATTAGAAAGCAATGATCTCCACCAAATAAGGATCTGGAAACTCCAGCCCGCAACAGCCCTCTGTGGCCTCGCAGGCCGCACCCCACGTCCTCTCTCCCAGGCTGGGAAGATGAATTCCGCCCACTGCCCCTCTGCCCCTCTCCGACCACTGCTCTCTCCCTGCTGCCACTTCCAGCCACTCCTACCCCTTATAATATCTTTCTTCTTGCAACTTCTGTTGAACCCGAACCTGACCTCCACTTGTTTTTCGGTTGTTTTTTTGTTTTTTTGGTACCAGGGATCAAATTCGGTCCTTGTGCTTTCGAGGCAGGCAGTGGCATCACTGAGCTAAATCCCCGGCCCTATTTTCCCTCATTTAAGGAATATAAGCTTTTTGAGGGTTAGAATGTCATCTTATTTTTTTCCTAACCTAAAACTCCAATCAACACATACTTGCTTGGGCTCGGGATTTAGCTCAGTGGTTGCCCCGCCTGCTTTGCAAGCACAAGGACCCGAGTTCAATCCCCAGTACCAAAAACAAAAACAAACATACTTGCTTAATCATAAATGACACTTAAAAACAGCCCAGGAGGAAAAATACATCCTATTTCATGTTTTAAAAAGAAAAAACTAAAGCCAAGCATGGTAGCGCACGTCTGTCACTCCAGCATCTGGGAGGCTAATGCAGGAGTATCACAAGTTTGAGCCCTGTCTGGACAACTTAGTGGCTGAGCAAGACCTTCTCTCAAGTAAAAAATTAAGGGCTGAGGAGGTATTTCAGTGTGAAGGCCCTGGGTTCAATCTCCAGGATGGCAAAAAACAAAAAGAACTCTATACTTGCATGTGTTTGAATTTTTTTTTTTTAAGACACAGTCTCGCTCTGTGTTCAGGCTGTCCTTGAACTCACTACATAGCCCAGGCTGGCCTTGAACTTGCAATCCTCCTGCCCCAGTCCCTTGAGTCCTAGTATTACAGGTGTAAGCCACCATGCCTAGCTGATGTTCAGAAATTTTCTAAATAATACACAAAAAATATATAAACAGCAAGAAGTAAAAAGAGGTAGAGGGGACTCACCTCTCACCTCTGTATATTTAAATTCTGTTTGGTGAGCACGTGACTTTAGAACAATATATAGCTAACTATATATAGCTATATATATATTTGAAACTTCAATCTGTCCCACTAATATTTTGTTCCCACGAATGCGAGTAACATCTCTGGTTACTTAGTTCCTTTTATGTGACACAATGTCAAATAGTTTCCCCAGTATGAATTTAGTTTTTTTCCGTATGGCTTCACGTTTCCTGTTTTCTCCAGCTCTGAGAGCTCCTGGGGCCATGGTTTCTACAACATTCTCTTACTCTGCTAAGTCCAGAAAGCTGAGTGGAGTAGGGGGAAAGACCTGTGCCCGGGTAGGGAGGGCCACCCAGAGTGTCCCTGGGGAACTCAGCTCCTTACTTGCCTACAACAGCTTGCCCTCAGCATGTCCGTGGGCTCAACAGAAACCTTTTCCTTATTGTTTTCTTTTTAAGACAGGGTCTCACTATGTACAACCCAGGCAGGTCTATAACTCATGGTGTTCTTCCTGCCTCAGCCTCTCAAGTGGTGAGTTAAAAAAAATATATAGATAGATATAGATGATATAGATATGGATATCTATTGGGGAAAGGGATTTAGCTCAGTGGTTATGCCGCCTGCCTCGCAAGCATAAGGTCCCGAGTTCGATCCCCAATACAAAAATAATAATAATAATAATACCGACGCTTAGTCCTCATCCCCGAAAGTATGATGCCATAGGTTGCAGGTGTGGTCTGGGCACTAGGAGATTTAGAAGTTCCTCAGGTGACTCTAACCTGCAACTCAAAGGGAGAAACACCGGCCTCCCTACAACTTCCTCACCTGAGATTTCACTCAGTGAAGACGCAGACAAAAAGCAGGGCTTTGATGAGAGATAAATCCCTATCTCGCCAAAGGTCTTTTCCAGATCATGACAGGAAAGAGGAAGCTAAGAACTCACTCTGTCTCTAAAGCCAGCAAAGTGATCCCTTTATCCGCAGGGGCAAAGCTGTCCCAAGGAAACAGAGCTCGGGGTCAGAAGCGTGATGTTCATCTGACCACCAGCAGGTGGCACCACAGCAGCTCACAGATGTCACTTGGAAAGTTAGGAAGGGACTTGGCTGCTTTTCAAAAGCTGTACGACGAGTTGGGATCAGGGAGCCACTCCTTAAGAAGTAAGGGCTGTCTCATCCAAGGGAGCCCTAGACAGGGGAATCAGCGCTCCGTGAGGATGGGCTTCTTCGTGCAGCACAAACGGCGGCAGAGGACGACGCCTGGAGACAGTCTGCAGCGGTCTCCGCAGCTGTCCCTAGTGCGCCCTCTCTCGACCTAACCGTGGACTGCAGCAGTCACACAGCGGCTCAGGGACAGGCGCACTGTAGGACCTCAGGCACCACCTGCCCAACCGGGCACTGCTCTGACCCACACCCTCCAGCTCGCAGGGAAGTAAAGTACTGCACAGTGCCGAAGAGAAAGGAAAGCAGATTTACTTCACTGCGCAGGAAAACTGTGTTTTGTGCTTAAGATCAATTCTTATTCCTACACTTACTCCAGGCTTAAAAACCCAACCTTCTAAGTGTTTCAGGCTGGGGATGTAGCTCACCAGGCACCCGTGAGGCCTTGGGTTCAATCCCCAGTACCATGATAGACATACATTGTTCTTAAAACTCCTGATTTTGCTGGGCAGGTATCTGCCTGCAATCCCAGCACTCCGGGGAGGCTGAGGCAGGATTGTTGTGCGTTCAGTGCCAGCCTGCACTACATATTGAGATCCTATCTTAAAAAAATTTTTTTTGAACTCTGATTTTAAGGATCTCTATGGATGGGTGGGAGAACAACTGTACTCTCCCGTTTGTTTAGCTTAACAATACCAGAAAAGGAAGAGAACAGGGTCCATTAGTAGACTCCAGGGTTTCACGAAGTTTCATCTCCCCTGTAGCTTACTGTTGTCATTGGTGTTCACTTTCTTTCATCTTCACACATATACAAAAGTAAAAGACCAATGTACTTAATGATTATCTAAATATGGCCGCAGCTGTTTCCTCGCTACCCTCCACCTGAAGAGTTTTGAAAGAAAGCTTAGCTACAATATTCAGTGTATAATTACATCTATGTCCAAAAGATAAAGATCACATATCAATGATCTGTTAATATCACAAATATCCAGTTAGGGAAGACACATTCCGTGGTCAGGTCTGTTTTTTACAGTTTATTTACATAGGATCCCAAAACATAAAGTATGTATAACAGCAAATGGCCAATGTGTTTCTTAAGTTTTTCTACAACTCTTCCATCCTTTGTTCTTGAAATGTGCCCAAAACCACTTTAGAGTGTTTCTCACAGCATGAAAGGCATCCCTACAGCATCCTTTCACAAGTGCTTCCCTCCTTAGAGATCCGGAAACAGGAAATACAGTCTGAGCTCTTTTCGTGGTTCACCCTGTGTCATTAAGACGTCCTGGCCTCCGCCTCTGCCTGCAGTCCACCTCCTGGTCTCCTGCCGTCCTCAAAGCCTCAGGTGTCAAAGTGCAGAGCTGATGAACAGTCTGCTCCCGAGGCACGGGCACCAGTCAGAACTGATGCTGGTTGTACACAGGGCAGGATCTTTACTCAGCTGGGCCAGCCTCCCAAGGGACACTGTCACTCATTGTGAAGACTTCTGAAGTGCACAGAGGTGGGAGAGGCGCATGTGGGCACATTACTGCTGTAAGGTGAGAGAGGAGAGGGGACAACGGGACTTCCAGGTGCCATCTCACCCTGGCATGTTTTATTCCCCTTTTACAGGGGTTTGCATCCAACTCTACTGCTTGTTGCTAGAGGTTGCAGGTTATAAGAGATCCTTTAACATCCAATAGGGGAAATTAATGAAATTGAGATTAAAAAAGCAACACAGAGGATTCATGAAGTTGGGAAGGAAGAGACAGGAGGGAGGAGAGGAGAAATAAAAAGGATCAAGATTTGAAGAGTGTATGTATCAATTCCCCACAAGGAATGTATTTACTGTGCATCACAAACATACAATAAAAAAATTGAGAAATAGAAAAAACTCCAACATTCCCCACTCTCCCAAAGCTGTTCATCATCAAAGCCAGACACTGTTAGTTGCTAATCCATATCGCTTCTTCCTGTCTTCCCTCATCTCTGAATCCCAGTTTCATTCAAGGCAGCAACATGCCCAACCAGAAAAAGTAACACATCCCAGGCTCCATCTATAGATAACCAGAGCCATATGAGTAAATTCTAGCCAATGAAATACAGGCAGCTGTTTTAGCCCATGAGGTAGGTAGGGTACATTACTTGTTAAAAATTCTTCCAGTCAGGTGTGGTGGTGCACACCTATAATCCCAGCATGTGGGAGGCTGAGACAGGATGATCCCTGCAACTCTGAAACCAAGCCCAGCTTGAACTACAGAGTGAGACCCTGTCTCAAAAGAAAAACAACAAATATACAAAATATAATAATCACATTTTTAAAATGGATTTCAGGGGCTCAACAGCAAATGCGAGCAGCCAAAACAAAGAATCAGCAAACTAAACTCAAAGAAAAGACATGAAATTATAGAATTTAAGAAGCAGGAAAGAGAGAATGAAGAGAAACAGACAAGGCCTCGGGCCTTAAGGGACACCATCAACATGAAACCAATATACAGATCATTAAGAGTTCCAGAAAGAGACAGACTCCTGGAAGAAATAATGACTGAAAAAGTCCCCAATTTGAGGAAACCATGAATCTACAAATCCAAGAATCTCAACAAACTTCAAGAATAAACTCAAAGAGACTCACACCAAGACACACTATAACCAAACCGTCAAAAACAAAAACAAAAAGAATCTGAGAAACACCAAGGCAGACACAGCTCATTATCCACATGGAAACTACCATAAGATTTTTATCCACTGATCTCTCTGCAGAAACCCTGAAGGTCAGAAGGC